GGGGGGGGGCATTGGCAGCGGCCGCGGGCTCCCCGCAAGAAGAAAGGGAGGGAGGGAGGGAGGGAGGGAGGGAGGGAGGGAGGGAGAGAGAGAGAGACCCAGGCGGCGGCGTCTTGTGGAAACATGGCGTACTGCACGGCCTGCCACGCCCCCCTGGGCCCCTCGCCTCCTCCTCATCATCATCCTCCTCCTCCTCCTCTTCCTCCTCCTCATCATCATCATCAGCAGCAGCAGCATCAGCATCAGCATCAGCAGCAGCAGCAGCAGCAGCATCATCAGCAGCAGCATCAGCATCAGCATCAGCATCATCATCCTCCGTCCTCTCCACAATCTCCTCCGTCCTCCTCGAGCTCCATCCCCTCCTCGAGCTCCCTCCTCCTCCTCGAGCTCCCTCCTGCTCCTCCTCCTCCCCCTTCCACTCTCCACTCTCCCCCGTCCTCTTCGAGCTCCCTTTCCTCCTCGAGCTCCCTCCTCCTCCTCCTCTTCCTCCTCCTCCTGCTCCTCACTCTCGTCGTCCTACGTGATTAACGTCCTGCTGCTGCTGCTGCTGCTGCTGCTGCTGCTGCTCATCATCCTCTCGCCTTCTCCTCCTCCTGTACCCTCGCACTCCCTCGGCCCCTCCTGCGGCGCCCGGCTCTCTGCCTCGTCGCTGGCGTCAAGCTACCAAGCGGCTCAAGCAGTCGAGCCGCTGCCAGCGCGCCACTTCTAAAACTGACTGCGACCCCAAAAACTTGTCCCACCAGCCAAAAACGCTCACCGAAAAGATCCCGACCCAACCGCCAAAAGTGACAAACATAATATCCTGATCCAGCCGACCGGAACTGCGGAACTGCCAGCCACATGTCCGCACCCATCCGTCCAACACTGCGCCGACGTACGCCCACCCGCCCGACTGGAACTGCAGCCCGATCACCCAACAGCTCGCCGCTTGGCCCCCGACCAGCCTCACGCCGAAGGGCGAGCACCTACAGTCGGGGCGTTGACCTAAGGAATCCTAAAAAAGAAACGGGGCCCCTTTTTTCCATAAGTTAAACTTCGACTTCCCATCGAAAACATAAGGAAAACCTGAGGCAAGCTGCGAAACAATTAAGGAACATGGAGCCCTTCCCGCACGAAAAGGGTTCCTTCTTCAGCGACCCGACTGTACACGGAGGCATCCCCGCGCTAGACGTGCCGCCTTCGGTGTGGCCGCTGGTTTCTCCTCGGCCGGGCCAGATACGCCGCCGTGCCTCTGGCACGAGGTGGAGGGCCCCAGGGCTTGTGCAGCACTGCGAGCGACAGGTGGGCGCTGTGATGCTCCTCCACTTACCAGCCTCGAACGTATCCCTATCCCTAAGATTGACACGCCAAAAGGCGATGACAATCTTAGGGATTCGCCCCCCAAAATGGGGGAATCCCTGAGATTGGCATCGTGATGAGGAGGTGCCCAGCATAGGGATAGGGATATGTTCCAGGCTGGTAATCCACGGGCTGTCTACCCACAACCCGGGCCTGGCTCTGGCAGGGGCCGAAGGCCACTGCATCCGCGAGAGCTCCAAAGCTGCAGGATCCCTGCGCCCAAACTTGTGCGCCGAGCACGATAAAGGCGGGCTCGAGAAGTCTTTGGCCACCAGCGCACGCGGCCGTTGGCGGGCGTCCCGCCGCTCCCGGAGCTCACAGCAACTCCCGGAACCAAGGGCTCCCTGCAGGCAGCGCATCCCTACCTCAGAAGAGAACAAGGTACCCATACCGCCTACCCTTCGCCAATTTTCTCCCTTCTTCGGCCTTCTGGGAGGCCCTCGTTGCCACCGCTGGATTCGCATCGAAATTCTGGTCAGAACGCACCCCAGGAGAGGTCCCAGGAGTAGCGGTATCGGTACCTTCTGGTCTCCCCATTACCCCCTAAACAACTGCCACAGTTACCAACAGCCTGTCCCGTAACTGCCCCCATCTATTCCTTGCGCCCCAGCCCAGGTCTGCCAGCAAGATGTCCTCGCCCGTCGCGACAAGCCCAAGACTGCGAGCAACCATCTCCACCGCTCTGGCGTAGAGCTGGCAGTGAAACGTCCTCACCTCCTGGCCTGAAACTGCGAGCAAGATGTCCTGACAACAGCGGCCTAAAGCAGGCAGCACAAAATCCCCTCCCCGAGTTGAAACTGCCATCTACTGGTCGAAGGGCCAACACTGCCAGCAATATATCCTCACCCCCCTGTCGCGAAACTGCATGCGAGAAATCATGACCCCTGGCATAAAAGCGCCAGCAATATATCCCAACAGCCAACCGCCTTGGCCTAAACTGCCAACAACATATTCTGAAAACCACGAACTAAAACTACAAAAACCATACCCTCACCCCCGGTCCAGCAACTAGCAACAACAGATGTTCATCCACCGCGGCCGAAACCGAACTGCAACCCGTATCCTCACCCACGTGCCTAAAAAGGTGACCACCACAATCTCACTGCCCACCCGCTCACTCGGGCAACACTGCGCTTGTAAAACACACACATATATATATATA